CACAAATATAATTGTGGAATCGATGAAGTTTGAGAAGTGATGTCGCAAGGTGCACACCTGAAGATTAGTATACTCAACAACAGCTAACTGAACAATGCCAAATTGGTCCGTGTAAATACCGACATCCATAGGATGATGATAATAAATATGTTTCAACCAGAAGGTGTTTTTCCTTACTGTTTAATCGGTGAATCTGTCAAAAAGCAATGTAAGACGAGCTCTTACGAAAGTTTTTTCTCCAAAATACTCGGTTTGTCTTGATATTTCAATACTTCAACTAAACGTACATATCTAAACTACTAGATAAGTAATCGATTTATTTAACCTTTATTCAGAATAAAATACGTAAAATATACGTTCAGTAGAATAGAATGAAACTGTAGGTGTTGCTTCGGAAGCCAGTAAATATAACACTGTGTACTCTGCGGTGGTCAAACAAGTTCTTTCTAGATGCATGCGTCCAATTGACTCATCTCCATTTTTTATATTGGATCTTATTTATAGTCCCAAGCGTACACCAACTCGAATTTAGACTGAATTTCAGCATCCCTACGGCTTTTAATAGTATAATCAGATTAAGGATTTGTTTGCATAATCATATTATCATAATCCGGAGTCCGCTGCATGGTCGTGTCCATAATGGATCAGATGTACACGTTCATTTCAATAAGAACTAGATTATTGCCATTTCAAAATTGGGATTTGAAACGTCACAAGATGTAAACGTATCGGCTAAATGGCTAAAATATGGCAATACGAACGATTTGCGAGATTTTTCAGGAACAAGAGCATGTATTTGTTACGATTTTCTTACGAGATGAATATGACGAAATTACAGATACAGAGAAAATATCAACTAGCATCCGGGTATTCGAACAAATCCACAAATAGTTATACAGCTGAGGAGACACTACAGCTGTTTTGTATAACAAGTTGTTCAGTGTTGTGCGGGACCGAAGCACCAATGAATGAGTGAATGTTGGTTTACGCAAACACGAGTGAATGCGTTTGGTGTAAAGCCGCTGTGACTAGTATACCAGTTCCCTTACTTGATGTGGGAGGAAAGTTCCTGGTGGGGCAAGTCACAGACGTTTACCACTTTGGAGAAACCCACAAACACGGGTATAGTAATGACAAAGGAAGGATTGTAACCATGGCTACTATTAGATTCGAACCCAATAACGTTAAGTGCCGCAACTCTCCAGAGCTAAGTGTTAGCCAGCTCTAGCCACCCGTGCTTCTTGACGCAACAGACACAAGTTCATGTATTACCCCTGTGGCCTGACCCGTGAAGACTCAGGTTAGAATAGGTCTTCAGCAACCCATGCTTGCCGTAAAGGGCTGCTAACGGGATCGGGTGGTCAGACTCGCTGACTTGGTTGATGCATGTCATCGCATCCCAATTATCGATGCTCATGATGTCAATGAATGGTTTGTCTGGTCCAGAATCGATTATTTACAGACCGCCGTCATCTAGCTGGAATATTGCTGAGTGCGGCGTTAAACAACAATCAAACAAAACCCCGTTGCCCTGATAATCGAATATATGCAACAGGCAAACTGGTGGTTGATATCATGACTAAAGGTGTCGTATGCACACAATTAGCTATTACATATTGTAAGCATTCGATTTACCAGTTATCATGACAAGTATGGGATACTGGGGATATATCCATCAAGTTCGAACCTCCAAACAAAGTCAGCGTCAGAGAAGCACAGTAACACATGTGTACATGTACTCCATGTGCCTTACTCGCAAATGAAATAAGCGTGAAATAATGACATTTCGCATTGCAATGCATGCATTTGTTCTATACTCCGCCTCACCTCCATCAAAAATGACCTACATGTACGAAATACATGATGCAGCAATGTATAAAATCCCAACTATGTACCTCCATATATTCCTGAACACTGTGCCTTGATGTTTATAAGAAAAAACATTTTTTATACTAATCAGATCCATCTGCGTGGTAAGATTAACATGAATTTGTTTACGTCTACTACACATGGCAGACTAACTTCCCACACTTTATATTCTGTGTAACATCTTTTATTGTTTCCATCTTGTACTGCGGCGAGTGTTTGAACAGCACGAGTATAATAGGGACATACTCTGGATGCACCCATAGCTTATTTAATCATAGGCCGTGTTTGTAATAAAAGCAGTAAATCCCTCAGACGCACGGTGAGGGTGTTTTACGTACGCAGGTGGATGCTTCACCATGTTTACTTCTGATGCTTGTTCTTCGGATTGCTTCGGTTTTTGTTACGAATGTCAAATTTATGGATAAGACCGAAAAAGACTAGGCCAAGGCTGTTGCCAAATCGCATGCTCTGTTGTAGATCAATACACACATGATAGCATTGAAGCAAACTTACAGAGCCAAATGACCTCATGAAGACTCGCATGTATGGATTCGAAATATTTTATTCATTGACTTTGATGTATACTGTTTTCCAGAGAATATTACAAAGCATTCTTCACTGCCTTCTCGGAAACTGTTGTTTCTATCATTTTATTGCCTTTTGGAAAAATAAGAACAGACACATATATGCAGTAACTTTCCTCACTGTATCGGGAATACAGACAGTCAACATGGTCTATGCTGATGCTGCAATGCTGATGCTGATGCTGCAATGCTGATGCTGCTAAGCTACTGCCAGACGTTTTATAACTAAATGGTAAGAAAATACGTCATCACGTCAATCACGTAGAGTGCTTTGTCTTCAGAAGTAAAGAAAGAACATACTTAAAATATGTTAATCTTATATAGAGCTTTGCCTTTCAGAATTGTATTTAAAGTAAGGAAAAACTGACAACATGTCAATGATATACTTAGATATATTCTTAATATAGTAGAGATTTCGTCTTTCATAATGTGTGTAAAGTTGGGAAACACTGAATAAATCATTTGTGTCAATCATATGGAGCTTTGTCTTTCAAGATGTGTGTAAAGTGGGGAAACACTGAATATATAATTTATGTCAATGATATAGAGTCAATGATTGTCCATAAACTCTGTTTTATAGTACCAAGACACGACACACGAGATCAACTATTTCAATATTATCGGCTACTACTGCTTAGAGGGAACACACACACACACACACACACACACACACACACACACACACACACACACACACACACACACACACGCACACAAACAAACAAACAACGTATATTCATATGAGGAGATATCATTACTATGTCATTCTGTGTGAACAGCATCAATGACAGTTAGGCAGAGGGGGTAATTAAACTTAGAAAACTTAAAGTAGGTCGGTTCCCGGGATCCCTTTACTTCATACTAGTTTTAATGTGTTACTGTATCTAACACATCTGATGACCCAATAGTACATCCGGGCATTTGCATTGTTTCATCTAGCAGCATGACATACTGGTCAACATCAACAACTATATTGTCATAAGTTTCGTCTGACGTTTGGTGGTGCCGCCAAATTTACATCAGAATATATTCTCATCGCACTTTCCTAAGTTGATTTACATATTTGTACATGCCAAGACTTAACGACCCTCCTTTTCGCTTCATTTGTCTGTAACTTGTAGTCTATAGTGAATCCATTACTGGCGTCAGTGAGAGAAAGGCCCACCACATGCAACCGTGTGCAACCGTTTCATTGATCATTAAATCCTTTATATTAGTCACTGGCATTCCTAACTTGTGATTTTTTTACTCGTCGTCAATGCTGTTTAATTCTAGTTCAACTTGTTTCATACCGTTCAAATGAATGAAATACGATGTGTATAGAAGACTGCCTACAGTTTCCATTGTACCTTGTGGATGATGCGCTATATTCAATTAAGAGATATCATCATCATTATCACATGTGGACATGATATGAGCAATATGTTTGTAAAGTTTGTAGAATGATGTGAATAGGAACAAGTGAGTGGATACGCCACTTTTAGCAATATTATTGCATTATCAATGTTTGTGTGGGGCGGGGCATCTCCAATAGTGTACCACGTGGAGAATTGAACCCGGGCCTTCAGGGTGTCCAGTGTTCTTTGTAACCACTAGACTACCCCATCGCGCCGGCATATGTATTCTTACAATAATCATAAGACTCTAACACGGTGACTTTAGGTTGTAGGATACAGTACCGATACAGATACACTAGTCACAACAGAAACATCAATCTAGTTGGTTGCACATGTTGTCTGATGTTTACAAACTAATAAATATTATATTAAACAGTCATGCAGTTACCATATGCATGATGATTTGTCAATCCTGATGGTAGCGTTTCCACTGATATCGCCTGAAGTTACAACTTTCTGGAGTTATGTCACTTTGAATGCCTGGCAACATTGAAATCAGTAATCGTTTCATAGTTGCAGTTTTAACAGAATCCGAACTGACGAAACTTGACAATTTAACCTCGACACAACAAATGTATGCGGTAGTTTCGATGTGCGATCCTGCCGCGCTAGCGGCAATACACATACACAATAATCACTGTATGTGATGTATGGCATTAATGAAGACTTAGAAAAACTGTGTGAGGAACAGTTTCATTGATGCCGTCGAACGAATCAGTGCCAACGAAGAACATGAAATTGAAACTGAACTGTACGTGTTGCTTTTTATTCAGATCTACGAAGAACAAACAATACACTGGAATTCTTATATAAAAAAAATAAAACTTCAAAGTGTAAGAATATTCCATGGCCACTATATTTTCTTTCAGGTAAGATAAGAAAACACGAATAGTTTCGATATCATATATATTTCCCTTAACAAATGCTACTTCATCGCGTCGTGATGTCCTATGTGTTCCTATCGAGTATATTAACCATCTATTCCAAGCAGTTGTCCTAGAAACTGTTTGAACAACCTTGGAGAAAGTGATAAATTGTTATTGACTATAAGGAAAGAGGCAACCCAATCCTGTAGAGTTTGGGAAAACTAATTTATGTCTTAATTACAATCGAAATCGACAAGAAGTCAGATGAAATGCATACCACTTACCACTGAAGAGACGACAGGTCTTCACCGCGCCAATCACAACAGCCTCTGTCGCCAATCAATGCAATACATCCAAGTTGTCCCTCATAAAATCCATATGCTTAGTTTTGTCATTTGATGCAATAGACATTGTCTGGAAGGCAGTAACTCACTCCGCTGCAGGTAACACCACGATGGACAAAAAGACACATCAATCGATGAATCTGGATCTCTGAAAGATAAATAAAAGTGATGTGAATACGAGGCGTCTGGACGGAGACGTCTCAATATGACATCGATGACTTTCCCGAAAGTCTTCAAACAAATCAATTTCACATGCACTTCACGATGCTATGTGTCAATATTCTTTACAACTTATGCAATTCTTTGGTAGTACCACAAGGAAGGTTTTCCCTTTCTGGCGGTTGTTCAGGGAATTGCTTTAGCGGCCGAGAAATTCCGATCGTTATCGCTCCGATTGGCTGCCCACAGCAATGAATACCTGACAGAGACGTGGCCTCCGCTTGACTACCAGTGTAGCCCAAGTGATGCAGGTGTGTTGGATAAGCTTGGAGGCGTCGGATTGCAAACTGGTCGCACGCGTAATAAGGAGCATGTGTTAAAAAATACCACGTGACCAGCTCGATCTCTTCCGTATCAATGGACTTGAAAATGATGGAAAACTGGCTAACGGCTGGAATGACTGATGTGATAAAAAGAAAATATCATTGATGGATAGCCAACTCATGGATATGTATGGATAAATGGAACTTTGTTAGTCTGAGGTCTATGATATAGAAACCTGTACTTGTCTTACGAGCTGAGAAGGTGGATTGGGTGGTCATTTGGCTGATTAAGTTTCATTGTACCCTAGTAAGAAGCGACTAACGGGATCGGTGGGTCCGCTCGCTGACTTGGTTGATGCATGTCCTCGATCCCAGTTGCTCATGATATTAATCACTTGATTGTCTAGCCCAGACTCGGTTATTTTCAGACCGCCGTCATATGGCTGGAATATTGCTGAGTGCGGCGTTGAACAACAAACCAACCAACCATTGTTTTCTAACGGCGTTGTACGTTGACAATGCTCATAATGTCAGTCACAGGTTCGCCTAGCCTCGACTACATATATTTAGCTGGACTATTGCTGAGTGCGGCTTTAAACAACAAACGAAAGCAAACAGAATATATGTTTATGCTTTCATTAAAGAATTGAGTTCAAGCACTGCGAAGGAACATATCTATCATTTTTCAATGATTTTGTTTGATGTTAATGCGCTAGGGAGAAAGTATACGAGGGGTGATTGAAAAGTTCTAAGCCTAATTACAAAGGATGTATAGTACACTCTTAACAGTTTTCATGCATTTAGTACAGTACTTTCCATGGTTGCAGGATGCATTTGAACAACACACACAACCAGGCAGCATATTTCTGCAGGCATCAAAGTGGCTAGCTAATCTCGTTTAAAAAAGAAAGAAATCGGCTCTCGCGCCGTCATCCAACTGAAACCTCTAACAGCCATTCATGCAAACATGTTGTTAACTTTTGGGGATGTGCTCCTTCTTCCTTTGACACTGTTAAGAGGTGGCTAGCGGAGGTTACATTGCCAGTTTGACCAACTGATGGACGGAAGCCCCATGAGTAATTAAGTGGGAGGTCGTGTATGGGCTATACTAGGTACAAGTACATGTACATGGTCAAGGCCGGTTCTGTAATTGGACTGGAGAATATACTTCTCTTACTGATCCTTGGACGGACCCGCTGAGAATTTTAAATGGTACACGGGGTTGCTGAAAGGCTGCATACTACACCCTTAACCGTTTGCATAAGTACATTATTTCCCATGCTTACTGGCTGTTTTTAACCAAAGCCTCGGCCAGGCAGTATATTTGTGCAGGCCTCAAAGTGAATATTAAGTATTCTTTGTTGATGGAAATGGATAGATAAATATTGGCTACCGCGATGTCACCAAGGCCAATGCACCTCCAACTGAAATTGCTAACTCCAACAGTCACCATTGTGTCAACTTTGGGGATGATACTCCTCCCTTTGTCACCGTTAAGAGGTGTGCAGCGGATTTAGGAGGAGAAGAGAGAGACTCGAAGATGATCCAAGATCAGGAAGACCTTCAACACAGAGACCACCAAGGAACATGTTGATAAAATACACGATATGAGTATGGATAATCGACGACTCACCTCACGTCACATAAGCAATACAGTAAGCATCTCTAATGAGAAATAAACTGGGCTTGACCAAAGTATGGGCACGCTGGGTTCCACGGCTTCTGACACAGATTAGAAACGCTCCAGTTACAACATCTCCCGTGAGAATTTACGTCCTTTTGAAGTAGACCCAAATGATTTTGTTGTTACCATGGATGAGTCTTGGGCGCACCACTATCCAACAGAGACTAAACAACAGTGTAACATCTACCGTCTCATCGTCTGAAGAAGGCAAAGTCTGTTCCAACAGCTGGCAAAATGATAGCTTCGGTTTTCTTGTATTCCAAAGAGTCCTCCTGGTGGACTGACTACCAGACGACCAGACCTTTAATGGCGAAATGCTATACAAATCTGCCTAGTAAACGACGTGAGAATATCAAAGCTTTAGTGGAAAACTCACTAAAACTCACTGTGTTGTTTCGCCAGGACGGTGTACCATAAGTCTGTTGTCGCCATGGTTGCAATGCATGACTGTCGCTTGGAACTCATTGAACACACTCAGTATTTAGCATATATTGCACCGTTACATTTCAACCTCTTCCCAAACTTGACGAAAGAACTATCTGGCAAACATTACAAAAATGATGATGTCGTCATTTCTGAGGAGGAGGAATTTTTAAACCACTAGGGGGAAATTTTCTACACCAGTGGAATCCAGGCTCTCCAAAATCGGTTGCAGAAGTTTGTGCAGTGGATTATGTTGAAAAACATTGGCAAGCAACTCCACTTACGCTGCCCGTCTTTGTTAGATGATTAGAAACGTTCAGCCACTTGGTATTATACACCTTGTCGTGAAGACATCGGGTGTAGATACTGAGGCTTTCAATTTTGTAATATAATTGTATTGATTTTTGTAATAAGTGTGTATGAAAGACTAATTAATAAAATATCGATAGTTACCTTTATCACGAAAATGCAGCATTCTACGTAATTCTTAAGGACGTATACGCCATTTGTACATGTTCATAGTTACTATAAAGTTCCGTGTGAAAGACTGCGTTTTCTGAACAAGATAAAAATACTATTTTCACAGCAGTGAATATAACACATGACATTTCACTACAGTGAACATACCACTTTACACGAACTATTTTCTTACAAAAGTTACCTCCCCGAAAATGATCTCCCCTTAATCATAAGTGTTTTCTGCGAAGAAAACAGAAGATATTTGACTTTCTATTGAAATTTCCACATTCACAAGGCTAAATAATGACAGATGCTCATTTATGGAGTTAATATCGATTCTTACCATTTGTTATTTTCATAAAAATGTTTTGTTTCATTTAACTCGAGACTATTCGTTTCACAAAGCGCCATTTTGTTTTTTGACCAACATGTATTCATTCGTTTCCAACACCGGTCTTGTAAGTTGATGTTAGTATATAATCATATCTAAATGTATGATAATCGAGACTGTTCGTTTCGCAAAGCGCCATTTTTATTTCTTGACCAGCGTGTATGCTTTCGCTTCCAACTGCGGTCTCGAAGTTTTCAAGAATATTTTTTGTTAAAGTTGATTTTGTATATAATCATGATTTAATAATGATAAAGAACTCTCGTGACCCTCACTATTTTTTCATACTTTTTCATATATTTTTTAAGATTTTGCAAACGCGAAACTACTTTTAAGTCGCAAATACAAGGAGTGGTGAACCGTCTTTGTGTCTGAGGTAGGGAGAATTTCCGTTTCAAGGTTTTCCATTTGTAATGAAATAATTAAATTCTCCGGTAGACAACTACACACAAAGTATATAATATATAGGATAGTCCATCTATATATACCCGCACAGAGTGAGTAGGTTTGGTTTAACACCGCTTTGAACGGTACATCAGTTATATCACGGCGTATGGAACTGACAGATCAAGGATGATAATCGGGGCGAATAAGTATTGTATTTAGCGATCGAATGCTTATTGTTCATTGTAGTACAGTGAGTGAGTTGGGTTTATACGCCGCATTTAAGAGTATTCCAGTTATATCACGGCGTGTCAACTTAATGTGGGGGGAAAGCCCGGAGTGATGCAGGTCTCAGACGTTTACCAGTTCGGTGAAACCAACGAGCATGAGTATGGTGCTGACAAACCTAGAAACATAATCGGGGCGAACCGGGATTCGAACCCACAATCATGGGTTTCTGGCGTGCCCAAGGGACGCAACTCTGCACAGCGAATCGCGGCGCCTTAGACGACTGGGCCTCCCGTGCCCCCTATTGTAATACAGGATGTGCACCATCCTAAAACACACAAACGCGCTAACCTTTTTATCATATGTCTCATTCCATCATCAAAATAAGTATTTTTCTTTCTCACAAATTTGGGTATGTATAGGGAGACTGCAAGTTTTTCTGGAATGTGCGCATCACTAAAATACGCCACAGTACAAGTGATTAGACAGTCGGACAGTGACGACGGACTGGTCAATAAAGCCTACTAAAATTTGGCTTTTAGACAGGGACGTAACTGCCATATCGACAAAAGGAAACAAAAAAGACAATAATATACTGCCTGCAGATTATTTTTGTTCAAATTTGTCAGTGATCACCCATACATCCATAAATCCGCCCTTCTTTCGGTCAAATCCAAATATGACTTTGGTCAAAGTTCCCCATACCGTACAGCAGGTAAAGGAACTGAGGTCCTTTTTTCTGTTACTTAAACTACTAAGGGCCCGAACATGAAATGCGGTGATTTACACATCGGCATCCCTGCCACTCGAGTCCACCTCTTCATGTGTTTTGCATTATCTGTCTGGTTCATATACGCACATTGTAATGTAAACCTGAATTAGGAGACGTTGCTATAAACAATATATATAGGGGAATCTTGGGTCACGGATTCTCATACTTGAAGCTGTAGGCATCGGTCATTGTTGCCATACTCAACCATTCTAAAATGTTAGCAGTATTTAACTTGAAAGTGTTATAAAGAAAAAGGCTAGTTCTCACAGTCTAGTCTAATCATTTTCAAACCAATATTTCAAAATTATCCTCAACTTTAATATTTGACATTTCCAGTGCGACAATAAGGGCCGTTATCTTAACTCGTACTTTCTCACCAACATTGTACCTACGGAGAAATGTTTCTTGTTACACATGTCACACAAATCAATGTCTACACACGGCTCGTATCGTTGTGAATATTTTCACATAGACTAGCGT